GCTTTGAGACGCATTGAAGACACGATAAAGCGCTGTATCAAATGCAAGTATTATTATTATTATTATAAGTAGCAATAGTTTTTGCAGCAAATGTTGCAGCCAAATTAGACACTCAGTTCATGGTCTCACCCATAGCAATTTGGCTAGACAATTCTTGGTTGGGACAAAGCCAGAATTTTTTAAAATAATACTGCCACAGTATCTTTAACATCCACCTGAAGAGCAAGCAGGGCCTGGGTTTATTAGCAAAAATAATAATAATAATAATAATTCTTGCATTTGACATAGCACCTTATCACGTTGATGAGACTTGTCAAAAGCACTTCACCGAATATACTGTAAAGTGGATTGTCTGTGTATTTTCTGGATGAAACGTGGCACAGCAAAGTCCCACATACAGTCGTGCATTGAGCGACCAGATCATTATTATTATTTATTTATTTTGAAGAGATTATTACACCCAGAAAACGATCCGCCAATCGACTAAGAACCGAGTTCCTACTTACTGCTAAGTCAACAGAGGCGTGTGTGTGTGTGTGTGTGCGTGTGCAGTAAGGAAACTTGGCTAAGGTTTCGCCCCCCCCACCCCACCGGGAATTGAATTGGGTCCTCTCGCTTGCGAGTGCTCTAACCACTACACTACAGGACTCCAATTGGCAATTCAACACTTCCACAGACAAGCTGGCTTTCTTACACTCTCGATAAGAAAACTGCTCCATTTTAAGACCCACCAGCCACAATAATGTGCTTACCTTGAACATGCTGCGGTCTCTTGGGGCAAAGCAATGACAATGCTGAAGTCCAGACCCTCTGGCTCTGCACGGTGATTACGCTACACATTTGAAAAATGAGGGTGAGTAGAGGGGCAACGACTCACTTAATCTAATCAGCAACTTATTCTATTTCTTTGAAGAATTAAAAACTTAAAACCTTTAATAATGGGATGATCACTTGCAACCGAGCGTTTAGAGAGGTGTCCTGTAGTTCAGTGGTTAGTGAGCTCGCCAGTGAGCAAACCAGATCTTTCCTTACTCCACACGCTTCTGTTTACCGAGCAGTAATTAGGAACCCGGTTGTTAGTTGATTGGGGGATCGCTTTTCCGGGGGTAATAATCCCTTCAAAAATAAAGAACAATAATTTGGTCACTCAATCCACGACTGTTTGTGGGACACTGCTGGGTGCAATTGGCTGTTGAGTTTCGCCCACAATACAGTCAATTCTCTTTGCAATATATCCCGCGAAGCACTTTGAGACATCTCGAAGGCATGATAAGGCGTTATATCCAATGCAAGGGTTATCATTATATAATTTCAGATTCAGCACATGTACTGCAGAACTATTTCATGAAACAAGGAGTTCTGTAACTCTGAGACTTTTTAATTTGGCTCATTTTTTTAATTTGGAGTTGAGATGCAGATCATACGATCTATAGATAGAAAAAAAACCTTTGAGACGTCTCAAAGCGTTTCATAGAATATACTGTAAAGTGAATTGACTGTATATTTTGTGGGAGACATGCGGCAGCCAATTGTGCAGTCGTGGATTGACTAACCAATTTTTTTATTAAGGGATTATTTTCCCGGTAAAGCTTTCTTTAATCGACTAACACCAGGGGTCCTACTTACCACTACGTAAACATGGAGTAAGGAAATGGAGTAAGGAAATTTGCGTAATGTTTTGCCCTGACTCGGAATCAAATCCAGGTCCTCTCGCTTGTGAGGCGAGTGCGTTTTCAATCCCTGGTGCCACAAAGTGCTGCTTAAATCCCCAAAAAGATTTCTGCTAGGTCAGGGTATCGAGGGATATGGGGCAAAGGCGGGTAATTGGAGTTGAGGTACAGATAAGTACAGAAGCATTTCAAAATTTGAAGGCAAAAAAAACAGAGACTAATAGTTCTCTCCTATTCGGTAGAATGAATATACTTCATCAGGAAATACAGTCCTACATTCGCAAAAGACAAGACATCCAAAATGGCTCAACATAATTTATTTATGTTAAATGTACAGAGGTCTTTGAAAGTACTTGCTAGAAAGAAGTGATATTACATACAAGGGGGAAGAAAGATGGAAGGGCTGCGTGTCTAGTATTGAACACGCACACAGAGTCCGACCGTTCCCTTCTCCTAGTTTACAGTCACCATGTACAAGTACCAAGGCTACAAAAAAAAAGCAATATAAACAGACATGAATATTCAGCTTTTTACATGCGGTTTGGAGGCAGGAGGAGGTCTATTATTCACACACGCTATAAGTCTGGAGAATTTTATTTTCTTAAAATAGCTTCGATATTCTACAACAAAGATAGAAAAAACTCTAGAGATGGAATGAAAGGTGAGTTCTTTTAAAGGCATCTGATAATCACTAACAGTGAGTTTCAGTTAAGATTACCCAAGTTTACCTGCTAAAAAATACCTCTTACTTAACACAAGTGGAAAAATGACAAGTACCAATATCATGTAGGATAAATTCATTGTTTTTTTTAATATAGAAAAACATTTTCTATAATAATTCTAAAGTCAAAATTGAGCAAGCTTTGCTTTGCTTTCATAAAAGGGAAGCTGCCTTGCCTGATCGGATGAAAAACGATCAAAAAAACACACCAGAAAACAATGAAAAGGGGAAGAAAACAAACAAACACGGTTGTGTTTTATTTTAGTATATCTGGTGCTCTCGGATGAAACTGTTTTTTTTTTAAAAAAAGACATCTCCCCCACACACCCCCTCTCTCTCCCCTCCTCTCCCTATCAACAGCATTCCAACATACACACTTGAAGGCCAGCCCAGAAGTGTGGAGTGGGTTTTCCATGGACTTTGTACCAGCGATGTGAATAATAATAATCCTTGCATTTGATACAGTGCCTTATCACGTCTTCGAGACGTCTCAAAGCGCTTCACAGGATACACTGTAAAGGGAATTGACTGTGTATTTTGTGGGCAAAACGCGGCAGCCAATTGTGCACAGCAGCGTCCCCAAATACAGTCATGGATTGAGTGACCAAATTATTATTATTTTTGGTTGGAAGGATTATTACCCCCGGAAAAGTGACCCGCCAATCGACTAACAAACAGGTTCCTACTTACTGCTGGTAAACAGAGGTGTGTATGGAGTAAGGAAACTTGCCCAAAGTTTCGCCCTGCCTGGGAATCAAACCCAGGACCTCTTGCTTGAGAGGTGAGTGCTCTAACCACTGAGCTACAGGGATCCAATTGGGGGGAGTGGGGTGTTGAAAGGCGGGAGGCTACCAATAATAGGTGGCACAATTCTTTCACTGATTATAATCTGTACCCCATCCCCATGTAACCATCATAGGTGTACCTTTATTGGAAGACGCTGGGTGGGGGGGGGGGAGGAGGGGGTGATGTTATGAGGTGGGGAGTGTTATTGTTGCTGCACATTGTGAATCGGCCACACTCCACTTTCTGCATTCCCCCCGAGCCCCAGACCCCCCACACCCCCACCTGCACTTACACCTACCTGACACTGCTCTCTTCATGTTTGAGGGGGTAGGGTGGGGGATGAGGTTCCTATTGCGTCGCCAACCTTTCTGTCCGGCCCCGCACTTCGCTGCCTTCTAATCCCCTCCTCCCCACCCATCCACTCAGCCAACCCTCCTCGTCTGTCAACCCTTTCAAATTCAGCACAACATGACTGAAATATGGGAAGGTTACTCCTTCCTTCATGCTCTCTCTCGCTCTCTCTCTCAGGTGGCACATGTGGAGTTTCAATGTAAAGGCTTAATACTTGCTCCTAATAGACATACCTCGACTCAGCTAAGCTCAGAAGTGCAACGACCGCACACCGCTGGTTTCTACGCTCACAATCCGATAGACTTTGGGGAATGATGGATGAAGCTCTCTCTCTCTCTGTACTGCGGGCTTTTAAAAGCTGCTGAGAGCCAGTGGCAAAGACTATTCGTTCATTCCTTCCTTCCTTGTTGCCCCTGGACCAGAGGTAAAAAAAACACAGGTCCTCCTGTGGGAAAGGTGTTGGCACCTGAGCTTTACAGCCAAGCCGTGCAGTGAGCAAGTCCACATTGAAAGTCTGGAAGCAACCTTAGCTGCCCAAGATTGTGGGGAAAAGAAAAAAAACGTATTGGAGTTCAGTCTTTTCTCACCGATAAATACCCTTATAGGGAACCAAATATACAAAGTCTGACCAAACCAATCGATTTGCCAGGAGTCATTTTTTTTAATAAAAAAAAGTGATTTCAGAATGAAACGATGTAAAGCCTCTCTCTCTTTCTCTTTTTCTCTCGTTTTTTTTTAAAACACAAAAAAAATGTTTCAGGACCCACTGGGCTGTCCCTTCGAAAGTGCCAGAACGAATACTGTCGATTTTTCCCATAAAAAAATAAAAAGGAGTTACGAGTGAAATGACTTTGCAGTGACACAAGAAGCAATGTTTGGAAAAAAAACATAAGTCTTAACATACATGGAGATGCTCTTGGGGCTTGTTGCATGCGATGCCAGAGGCTAACTCGATACCGACTGGGGTGGGTTAAGTAAGTAAGAAAAGGGGAAGACCTTAGCATTAAGTGCCAAAGTCCACAAGCGCGAAAGCATTGTTTTTTCACCTACTGGCACGTGTATACAGTGAGATCAATAAATACAGCCACACCTCAACAATATCACCAAGGTGGCAGAGTCTGAGATAAGTGCGTCCTTTCCTCCCTGTGGCCAAAGTCAACAGAGGGGAGAGACGTGATTCAGTCCTAGCTCTCGGGGGTAGCATATCTATGGACTCTATATAAAAAAAATGTGGACTGCACACACACACACACACACACACACGCACACACAACTGAAAAGATTAAAAAAATTAAAAATATAAAAAGCAGATAGTTTCATTTCTACACAGTTCATTTTTAAGTAAGGCTTCTTTTAGTTAAAAGATTTTTTGTGCATGGTTCCTCAAACCATTTCTTTTCTCTTATTGAATTCTGTTGCAGAATTTTTTTTTAAAAAAATTTCTTTCTTGCTTTCCTTTGTTGATTTTTCTCTCTCTCTCTCTCTCTCTCTCTCTCTCTCGCTCGCTGTGTCTCTTGGCTGGGAAATTAAGGCCAAGGCTCTCCCAACGTTGGCCCTAAAGCAGTTCTTGAAATTCCTATGTCTACCGCGATCGCTTTTAATTGAAATTTTCCTCGACTCTCGTCAGTATAAACAGTTCACTCGTGGTGTGGCTGTGGCGACAGGTGACTGTGTCCTTCATCTCCTCATGTAAGGACCGTTTATTGATTGCTTGGGCATACCGGCGTTCATGTAACTGTGATGCGAGGGGGCTGAGTACATCATGTTACTGTGAGGGGTAGACTGCAATTGTTGCTGCCCATACGCCTGGCTGCCCATCATGCCCATTTGCATCTGCATAGGGTACTGGGCTGTTTGGTTCATGTAGGCTGCGTTCCCGTGGTAACCGCTGTTCATCATAGGCTGGCTGACCCGGTAGCTGTTCATGGCATTCAGCGTGTTCATGTTCATGGAGTTGACGTTGTAGGTGGGGGCGGGCATGAGATTCACGCCCATGTTCATGCCCCGCTGGACGGTGAGTGCCCGCTGTGCCAGGGCGGTGGTGGTATTACGTCCGTAGATCTGTTGCTGGTGGGCTGCTGTGGCCGCGGGCAGAGGGGCGGACTTGGAGCGGTTGGAGATGTGGCCTTTGCCGGGCATCTGGCCCTGCAGCCTCTGTGTGTGCGGAATCCCCAGGTTCCCGGCTGGCATGTTACACTGCAGGAGGGGCGAGGCCAGGTTCATAGAGGGCGAGGCCAGGTTGGGAGGAGGAGTCATGGTGGCTTGTGCTTGGGGGGTCCCGGCCAGAGCATGGGGTGACGAGGCCAGCTGAGCCAGGCCCGAGTTGGACAGAGAGACGCTGGTTGCATAGGAAGTCACTGCGGCGGAGTGACTGTAAGGCATCGCATGATGGTCCATGATGGTGTTGGTGAGTTGCTGGAGCCGGGCCAGGCTGAAATTGGCTGACTGCGGGTAGCCACCTGCGCTGAAGTCTCCCTGACCCATCCTCTCGTACAGGCTCATGCCACTGGCGTTGGCAGCCTCTGGGATCTCCATCAGGGTCATGGGGGCTGGCGTAAAGCTGTTGTTCATGCTGCACTGGGACAGCGACTGCTGTTGCTGTTGGGGCTGTTGTTGTTGCTGCTGTTGTTGGGGTTGCTGCTGGGGTGGGGGCTGTTGTTGCTGCTGTTGTTGCTGCTGGGCTTGCTGTTGAGGCGGGGGTGGTGGCGGCTGCTGCTGGTTGCTGGGTGGTCTGTCGATCGCACAGCTCTGCGGCGATTTCATGCTGCAGTTGGGGGCGGGAGGAACGTTGCTTTGCTGCATGAGGCTACAGCTGCTGCTCATGCTGGCCATCTGCTGGGTCACCACGCAACTGTTCTGGGTCAGGCTGCTGGAAGCCGCCAGGCCCCCGTACGAGCAGCTGGTCTGAGAGGCGTTGTTGCCGCAGATACTGCCCCCCATGGTAGAGTCGTAGCTGCTGGGGTTCTCGTAGTTCTCCGTCGTGCTTTCGATGCTTCCCAGGTCACTGAAGCCACTGTCCACCACCTGCTGGGAATGGTCAGAGACCGAGGGCACATCCATCATGGGGCTGGTCTCCATGTTCTGCATGGAGGGGGCGGAGAGGGAGCCCTGCTCGGGGCTGATCTGGGTGTAGCCACCGTCCAGTGGAGGTAAGCTGGGACTGCTGACCGATCGTACCGACTGGCTGGGGTGAGACTGGACCGAGGAGATGGGGCTGTTGTGTTCTGATTGCTGACAGTCGTCCACCATGGTGATCTGTGGGCTCTCCTCCGCCTGGTTATAGCTCTGGAGGTTCTGACAAGCCTCCAGTGTCTCTGCGCAGTCTTGGTAGGTGCCATCCTGCTCGCCGCTCGTCTCCTGCGTCAGCGACTGCACGGCCTGAACGGTTTCCAGATCCAGTTCGCTGTGCGAGATGTCCTCCTCTTCCTCCTCCTCCTCCTCTTCCTCCTCCTCCTTGAACTCCGGTATCAACGTCTCCTTGTTCTCCTGCTCGTCCGCCCGGTCTTCGTCTGAAGCGGGGACGGGCTCGGAGTCCAGCGACGTGTCGTTGGCGCGCTCTTCCTCCGAGTCGGGCTCCAAAACGGCTTCGCTCTCGGCGTTTTTATCGGCCGCGCTCACCTCTAAAAAAGTTTCTTCCTCTTCTCCCTGTGCTGGGGACTCCTCCTTGACGCTCTCCTTCGCGCACTCTTCGCCCTTCTTGTCCTCCGCGTCCAGGTGACTTTCGTCTTCATCGTCAGCGTCGTGGTCCTCGTTCTGGTTGGCCTCTTCCTCCTCCTCCTCCTCGTGCTCCTGCTCCTCATCCGTGTGCCCCTCCCTTTCGCCCACTCCCGCTCCAGCTCCCGCTCTCTCCTCGCCCTCAGCCTCGCGCTCCTCCACTTTCGGGGCAGGACTGTGTGAGACGCTGGCAGTCCTCTGCGCCTCGCCCCGCACTGCCTCCTCCACATCCTCCTCCTCCTCAACTCCCTCCTCCTTCTTGTATGAGGAAACGACGGGAAGGACGGCCATCTTCTCTGCGCTGGCCAGGATCCTCCTTTCCTCGCTGCGGTTGGGACGTCCTGGTTTGGGGGTTGGGATGGCCCCAGTTGAACCTGCGCTCTCCGCGGGCGTGGTGGCTCGGGTGAGCTTAAACCCCGGTTTCCTGCCCGGTTTTCTCTTCCACTTGATCGTTCCCCGCTTCACACCTTTGGGCCACCCTCTTTTACGCTTCAGTATCACTGGTGGGGATTTGGGCACAGAAGGCAAGTCTTTGCCATTGGTTTTCCTCACGTTGTTTAACCCTTCGAGGGTGTCTGGCCCTGCAAAACAATCAACAGTATTTTTTTAACTAAACATCCTTGAATGCCTCTACCGAAAATCTGTCTGAAGGGGAGAAACATCTCAAATACATGAGACAAAGTAGCTATATAAAATATTAATAATCCTTGCATTTGATATAACGCCTTATCACTTCTTTGAGACGTCTCAAAGTGCTTCAGAGAATATACTGTAAAGTGAATTGACTGTGTTTTTTGTGGGCGAAACCCAGCAGCCAATTGCGCACAGCAGTGTCCCACAAACAGTCACTGATTGATGTGACCAAATTCTTATCATTATATCTTTTACTGAGGGATTATTACCCCGGAAAATCGATCCGGCAATCAACTAACAAGCGGGTTCCTGCTTACTGCTAGATAAACAGAAGCATGTGTGCGAGTAAGGAAACTTGCCCAACGTTTTGCCTGTGGCAAGTTTCTCAAATTAAATTTTCTCAAATTTTAAATTCTCAAATTAAAATATTCCGCCTTAAACATTTAACAGACGTAATCGGGCAAAGCGTATCATCATTATTTTATGANTTTTTTTATACTGATGCTGCTGGCAAAGCGGTCTGTCTCTAAATAATTGAGGCAATAATTTGGTGTTTACACAAACAGCTTCGCAGCACAACCTAATTTCTAAGTCTCGGAGTGTGAGATCAGAAGCACACTGTGCGTCAGATACCCACAGAGCCACAAATCCTCGCCTTGGAGTTTGTCCTCCAAAGTGAGTTGCTAGCCAAGATTAAGCAAAATTATTATTTATATAAAAAAATTGGTCACTCAATCCATGACTGTTTACCTCGCAGTTAATAGGAACTTGATTATTAGTCGATTTGTGGATCACTTTTCCGGAGGTAATAATTCCTTCAAAATAAAAAAGGTTTGGTCCCCCAATCCACGACTGTAATTCATTTTACAATATATTCTGTAAAGCGCTTTGAGATGTCTCAATGATGTGATAGTCATAGAGTTATACAGAACAAAAGGAGGCCATTCGGCCCATCGTGTCTGTGTCGGCTCTTTGAAAAGAGCTTCTAATTCAACCCCACTCCCCCGCTCTCTCCCACAGCCCTGATCAACCCCACTCCCCCGTTCCCTCCCCATAGTCCTAATCAACCCCACTCCCCCGCTCTCTCCCCATAGCCCTGATCAACCCCACTCCCCCGCTCTCTCCCCATAGCCCTGATCAACCCCACTCCCCCGCTCTCTCCCCATAGCTCTGCAAACTTGTCCCCCCAAATAATTATCTACTTTTCTCTTAAAAGCTATTATCGAATCGGTTCCCACCGGCCTTTCATGCAATGCATTCCAGATCCCAACAACTCGTTGTGTGAAAACGTTTCTCCTTCCCTCCCCTCTGTTTCTTTTAACACCTATTATAAATCGGTGCCCTTGGGTTACCAACCCACCCAATCGCCAGTGGGAATAGTTTCTCCTGTTCACCCTGTCGAATCCCCTCATAATTTTGAAAACTTCTATTAAGTCTCCTCTTAACCTTCTCTGCTCCAAGGAGAATAATCCTCGCTTCTCTACCTCTCCTGATAACTGAAGCCCCTCATTCCTGGTACCATCCTGGGAAATCTCCTTTGCACCTTCTCCAATGCCTTGAAGTGCAGGGCCCTGAACTGAATATAGTCTCTCGCTGAGGCCTAACCAGTGTTTTATATAAAGGTTCATCATAACTTCCGGACTTTTGTATTCTATGCCCCTATTTATAAAGCCTCGTATCCTGTCTGTGATTTTAACAGCTTTATCTTCCTGTCCTGCCACCTTCTAAGATTTATTATTATTATCTACCTTCTAATATTATTATTATTATTATTTATATGAGCCCCCTGGTATCTCTGTTCCTTCACCCCCTTAAGTTTGTCCCATCAGCTTAAGTTGCCTCTCCTCATTCTTCCTCCCAAAATGCTATACTTCGCACTTCTCCACATTAAACTTCATCTGCCCCGTGTCGGCCCATGTTACCAGTCTGTCTATGTCCTCTTGCAGTCTGCTGCTATCCTCCTCACTGTTTACTACTTTTCCAGCTTAGTATCATCTGCAAACGTGGAAATTGTACCTATACCCAAGTCCAAGTCATTTATATAGATCAAAAATAGCAGTAGCCCCACTTTTACGTGGGTAATAATCCCTTCCAAAAAATAAATAAAATAATAATAATTTGGCCACTCAATCTACAATTGTTTGTGAGCCAATTGTGTGCAATTGGCAGCTGCGTTTCGCCCACAAAACATACAATGATTTCACTTTATACTATATTCTGTGAAAAGTGTTGAGACGTCTCGAAGATGTGATAAGGCGCTATACATCAAATGCAAGGATTATTATTATTATCATACCGTGTCACCAATACCTGGGATGAAGGGGCTTAGCTATTAGGAAAGGCTTGGGTTATACCCCTAGAGTTGACGAGGTTTAAGAGTGTTCTGATTAAGTTATTTAAAAGAATGTGTTGAATTCTTTTAATTCCCCATTACATCGGTTCTCCAGCCTCCTCCTTGTTCCTTGTGCATCGGTGAGCGTAATTTCAAACACTTCGCTTCAAAACTCTTCCTCTGTACCCGCCTTGTCTCATCCCTCCCCATCGTCTGTCGCGCCTGAAGACCTTCCCCTAAGAAGGCTGTGCCTATGGTCCACACTCCCCTCTCACCGGCTTGGAGTCATGCTCCGCCACTGTCAAGCACTCTAGGACACTGCCCTGTGTGAAATTGTTGTTGTTGCTGAATTGACAAGCTAGATAGATGGTGGACAACTCTTCCCTTTGATCCAGAGTTTCCTAAATGCAGGGGTTTAAGTCAATGCTTTAAGATGTAAGGTCTGGATTGCACTGCCTGAATGGGCGCTGGAAACAGATTCAATAACACCTTTCAAAAGAAAATTAGATAGGTACTTAAAAAAGACAAATTTGCAGGGCTATGGGGAAAGAGCGGGGGAGTGGGACAGATTGGCTAGCACGGGCGCGATGGGCTGCATGGCCTCCTTCTGTGCTCTAATATTCTATGATTCTAAGATCTCCAGGTGTCACCAGGAAACATGCCAACAATGGGTTTCTGCAATATGAGGAGCTGGTTTAGCTCATCTCTCCTCACAGGCAACACTGCTGACTTCCGTTTCCATTCTTTCTATATTTGGACTCTTGGAATGTGATCTGTGAGCCCAGCCAGCCATCTATATGACCTTGGATGTGTCTCAGGTATCTTCGTCTCCAACTCTTTGGTCATGAATTGACAGGTTGACGTTTGGTTCCACGTCCCCGAAGTGCGAGCTTTGCTGCACTCGGCACGACACGCGTACTGGTAAGCGTCGATCAGAGGCTAAAATATACTCGTGAGTCACAGCCACGAGCTAACTGGTCTGCCTCAGTTTGGGCAACGAGAGACGAGAACAGATCCTCTCAATCGTCAAGCTGCGAGTGAGTTCACAATCCAGCCTAAACTGAGGCAATAATAATAATCATTGCAGTTGATATAGCGCCCTATCACATCTTCGAGTGTGTCTTTTGTGGGAGAAATGCGGCAGCCAAATGTGCACAGCAGTGTCCCGCAAACAGTCCCAATTGAGACTTTTTTTTAAGGGATTATTACCGCCCGGAAAGTGATCCGCCAATCGACTAGCAAACGGATTACTACTGACTGCTGGTAAACAGTGTGTGTGTGTATGTCTGTGTGGAGTAAGGAAACTTGCCTAACGTTTCGCCCTGCCCAGGAATTGAACCTGGGTCCTCTTGCTTGCAAGGCGAGTGCTCTAATCACTGAGCTACAGGACTCCACACTACAAGACTCAGAGGGAAGATCTGATCCTCTCAATCACCAAGATCCAAGTCTGTTCACAATCCACCCTTTACTGAGGTATACAACACCTGCTCATACCACCAGTTTCCTTTGGGACTCGCTGCTTCTGCTGCTATCCCCATAGAGAACCACAGAAATTTTACAGCACCGGAGCAAAACTATTTGGTTCACCGTGTCTGTTCTGAACTGCAATCTTTATGGAACAAGGTAACTCTTGCACCAGCTAGTAGTGAGCAGCATCAATACTTCTCAAAGCGCAGCGAGCAGGTTACCTAGCTTTCATTCTCAACCAAGGTAGGCTATGAGGTGCTGTAATGGCCGGAAAGATTGGTGATTTCAACAAGCCTTTTTTTTTTGGTCAACCATGTATCTGACACACGCGGAAACCCATCACTGTTGCTTAAGAGTTTCCAGACCAAACTGAGAATTCCACGCATCCCATCTACACATGGAAACCCCAGAGATAGATTGTTGGAATGGAATGCGCTCTCTCTCTCTCTCTCTTTCTCCCTAGAGGGATCCTGCTTACTTAATTCCGGAAGTATTAGGCGCAGGTGGAGTCCTGTAGCTCAGTGGTTAGAGCACTCGCTTTGGAAGTGAGAGACCTGAGTTCAATTCCAGGCAGAGGGTGAAACCTTGGGCAAGTTTCCTTACCCACACAGAGCCTAATAATAATCCCTCCAAAACCAAAAACAATAATAAATTGGTCATTTTCAATCTACGACTGTTTGTGGGACATTGCTGTGCGCAATTGGCTGCCGCGTTCGCCCACAAACATACAGTCAATTCACTTTACAGTATATTCTGTGAAGCGCTTTGGGACGTCCTCCCGACGTGAAAAGCGCGATATATAATGCAAGGATTATTATTATTATTATAGGTTGGCCAAGGCTTGAAGGAAGCCCAAAGTCTGCGTTGTGGGGTAATTACTGGAGGATAACCAGCTAAAACCGCATTGCTAGCCAAACAAGACAAAATGGGGGGACAAAAAGTGAAAACAGAGGCGTCAGAAAGCATGCAACAAGCAGTGCTGCAGTCTGGATTACAATCATTGCTTCCGTTAACTGAAAACAGAAACAATGGCAATCAAATTCTTGTGCATTTGATATAACACTTATTCACGTCTTCGAGACATCTTAAAACGCTTCACAGAATATACTGTAAAATGGATTGACTGTATATTTGTCGGCGAAATGCGGGAGCCAATTGCACACAGCAGTGTCCCACAAACAGCCATTGATTAAAGTTACCATAATTTTGAAGTAACATAATTTTATTATTTTTTTCTTGAGGGATTATTATCAGGCGTGTGGGATAAGGAAACTTGCCCAAGGTTTTGCTCTGTCCAGAATCAAACCAGGTCTCTCGTTTACAAGGTGAGTTCTCTGACCACTGAGCTGCAATACTCCACTAGAATCATAGAATATTACAGCACAGAAGAAGGCCATTCGGCCCATTGTGCCTTGGCTGGCTCTTTAAAAGAGCTACCAACTAGATCCACTCCCCCGCGCTTTCTCCATATCCTTGCTGTAAGCCAGCTCCACATGAAAGCAAGCTCTCTTTAATGTACTATCAATCAAAGTTCTTGTTTCACACATCTGTGCAACCAGGGCTGAGAAAAGGGCTGAGCGAGTAGTAAATGTAAGGAACAGGCTCCCTCGGGAGACAAGATGGTGGAAGCAGAAAGCGTTGATCCTTTCAGAAGCAAATTAAAACAGATTTCTGTTCGGAAATAATATCGTGGGATGTAGTTTGGGATACATAACGTGCATATGACGTGCATATGACTGGTGGAAGGTGAACTGGATGGACCTTGGTCTTCTTTCATAGAAATTCATAGAATCATCGAGTCTGCCAGCACAGAAGAAGGCCATTCGTGCCTGTGCCAAGTCTTTGAAAGAATTACGCAACTAGTCACATTCCCCAATCTTATCTCAACTAGTTCCACTCCCCCGCTTGCTCTTACCCCAAGTAGTCCCACTCCCTTTCCTATCCAATTCCCTTTTGAAAGGCAGTGCGTTCCAGACTGCAACAACTCTCTGGGTGAAAAGTTCTTATGTGATATAAAATAATAATAATTCTTGCATTTGTTATAGCGCCTTATCGCGTCTTCGAGACGTTTCAAATCTTCAGTATGTACTGTAAAGTGAACTGACTGTATTTTGTGGGTGAGACGTGGCAGCCAATTGCGCACAGCAGCGTCCCCACAAACAGTCGTGGGATGAAGTGACCAAATGATTATTATTTTTTACGTAAAAGGTAGCAACCCCGTGCCACACCCAGCATCAAGGGGCAATAGGCATTTAGGTCAACCTCGGTCACTCAAATAAATACCTTCTGCTTGCTTGGGGACCCCGTTCTCCACCACCTTCCGCTTGGAGGAAGTGCGTTTGCGTACGACAGCGCTAGGCGACAGGCTCCTGAAGACGCGGCCACCTCGATGTTCCTTCTCGTTTCTCTCGTCCTCCTCCAGCTCGAAGGTGGGCTCCAGGTGAGGCATCGGTCGCTCGGTGTCAGAGTCGTCGAAGGGCTCGTCCAGCACCTCGGTGGTCTCCGAGATGGTCTCCGTCACCACGCTGCTGTTGTGCTGTTTGCGTTTACGACCCCGTTTCTTCCGATGAATAATCACCCTCTGTGGAGAGAAGTTAAGTTACAGAATAAGTGCACCGCAAACATAATAAGGCACCGTATAGTCCCTGTAGCTCAGTGGTTAGAGCGCTCGCCTCGCAAGCGAGACGACCCGGGTTCGATTCCCAGAAGGGCAGCGAAAAACGTTGGGCAAGTTTCCTTACTCCACACACACGCGCGCGCCTCTATTTACCGAGCAGTAAGTAAGAATCACACAGAGGAGACAGTTCAAGATCCTGATCCTCACCTTCATGGCCTTGCTCCCCTACCTCTGCGACCTCCTAACCCCCTACCAACCTGCCCGCTCCCTCCGCTCATCAGGCTACGGCGTGCTTCATGTCCTCCGCCTCGCCCGCACGACCATTGGCAGATGGGCCACTCTGCCCCCACCCCCTGGAACGCCATCCTGCAGTCCCTCCGCCGAGCCCCCTCCTTTGCCTCCTTCACGATCCATCTCAAAACCCTCCTCTTCGACCGTGCCTTCGATCACCCTCCTTTCCCCCCCTGCCCACCGCCCTCCACGATCCCAGCTCGGGTCCGAAATACTGACTGTCCAGCGCCTTGGGGCGTCCACCCAACATGAAAGGCGCTACATAAATGTAATTTTGTTGCTGTTGTAGAAGGAACCTGGTTGTTAGTTGATTGGTGGATCGCTTTCTGGGGGTAATAATCCCTCCAAAAAAATCAATAATAAATAATAATTTGGTCACTCACTCATCCTCACCTACAAGGCCATTCACGGCCTCGCTCCCTCCTACCTCTCCGACCTACTATCCCCCTACCTACCCGTACCCTCTGTTCCTCTGGCTCCGGTCTGCTCCACATCCCCCGCCCCAACCGCCCTACCATCGGTGGCCGGGCCTTCAGCATTATTAATAATGACCTGCCATGATCTAATCAATCGGCAAAACAGGCTACATGGGCAAAGTGACTCTTCCAACTAGGCAGGGATTACAGTGGTGAGCTTTCCGCGCTTTCAGACACAATGCTCCGAAACTCTGGAACTCCCTCCCTCAATCTCTCCGCCTTTTCATCTCCTTCCCCATCTTCAGGTCGCACCTGAAGGCCTTCCTCTTCGATCGTGCCTACGGTCACCTCCCCGGCTCGCCCTCCCCGGCTCATCAGCATGCTCAAGCGCTCTGGGACGCTGCCCTGCATGAGGGGGTGCTGTGTAAATGCAAGTTATTGTTGTGATTTGTACCAAAGTTATTGTGAAGTTCTGCCAGCATTTATTCACAGACTCCTGGGTTACTGTGTAAGTGAGGGGGAACGGTGGGCAGTGAGGGCCCAATACAGCAAATTTAAACTAGAAAATTAAAACAAATTGATAGCGGTTAAAAAAAAAGTCCCTTGAAGTTCATCATACACTTCACGGTTATCCTGAATAACATTGTCCTCAAGTGACCTGAAAGTGTGCGAGTATGGCTGTCTCATTGCTTGTCCTGTGACAGCAGTGATAGAGGTAGATAGATGGAGGTGAGTTGAGGTTTTTTGCTCAATTTGCAAACAAGAAACTCCTGACTACGCTTTAAAAGATCTATCACATATTCTGTGTCGCCGGGGAATATACCAACATCCTGAACTTAGCAGCATTGTCATATTTTCGTTCTCTATTTTAATCCCATTTCCCTGTTCTTAACACAGTTGTGTTGAGGTTCCTCTCAACTACATCTTTCTACTAATTGATACTGCGCCTTATCATGTCGTCAAGATGTGTCAAAGCGCTTCACAGGATATGCTGTAAAGTGGATTGACTTGTGGGTGAAACGCCAGTTGCAAACAGGCACGGAGTGAGCGACCAATTTTATTTTGGGAGATTGTTGGCCAGGATACCAGGAAAGAGCAACTCCCTTCTGGTTACGAATAGCGATCTTTAACATTGACCTGAATAGGCAGACGGTTTAATGTCTCATCCGAAGAATGGCACCTCCGATAATGTAACACTCTCCCCAGCGCTGCATTAGTCAATTTAGATGATGTGATTCCAATCCACAACTTTCTGACTCGGAGGCGAGAGCGTTACCACTGTGCCAGGCCCAGACACCATTGCCGTAACAACTGAGAGCATACACGTTCCCGCTCAAACCTGTCCAGTGTTCCCTGTCCCTGCGCAAGCACTATCCAACAATACAATACAAAATGACATTTACACGCACCTTTCACATCGGGAGGACACCCCAAAGCGCTGGACAGTCAAGGATTTGGACCCGAAGGGAAGGGAGAGAGGGAGGCAAAGTGAATGTGGGATGGAGTTCCAGAGGGTGGGCCAGAGAGGCTGAAGGCTCGGCCGCTGATGGTGGGGTGGGGTGGGCGGGGGGTGTGGAGCAGAGAATAGACGGGTTGATAAGTGTTTAGCAGGTCACTGAGGTAGGAAGGGGCAAGGTCGTGGAGGCAATGTACAAAGGCACAAGGAGACCAAAGGAGATAGGTTAGAAACACACACACACATACACGCGCACACAGCACAACCTTACCTTTCTCTTTACCCCACGCAGTGCTGGTTTGGTGAGCACAGGGGGAGAGCTGGGTCTCGTGTCATCGTCCTCTTCCTCCTCGTAGTCGTCCTCATCCTCCTCTTCCTCACTGCTCTCGCTCAAAGGCTTTCTCTTGCTCTCGCTGTTGACAGGAATGCTGCCCGCTGAGCAGTCCAGGCGGTTCTTACAGGCTGTCCCACTAGCTGCTGCTTGCCTGCCGTTCTGCACGGCTGTGTAACCGTTCACCTCTTTCTTTTCCCACAAGTCGCTGGTGTTTCCACTCTGTTTCTTTTGACATGAAACACATTTAAAATTAAAGTGAACAAACAGCCTGTCAGAAAATCCCAGTAAGAAACACAATACAACTGTGTGTTGGCCACTGCTGTGGGCAATTGGCCGCCGTGTTTCACCCACAAAATATACGGTCAATCCATTTTACAGTATATTCTGTGAAGCGCTTTTAGACTTCTCAAAAACGTGATAAGGCGCCGTATCAAATGCAAGGATTAGTATTATAAAATCTACAGGGCGGGGGCACACGGTTTGTTTTGTTTCACTGAGAGAGTGAGGTTACAAATATACATTTTGGCCCTCTGCCTCGTCCTCCTTGACCTCTCTGTGACTTTCGATACCGTTGACCACTCCATTCCCTTCCACCGCCTTTCCTCTCACCTCAACCTTCATGGTTCTGTCCTTGACTGGTTCAGCTCGTACCTCTCACACCGCCTGCACTTCATCTCCACAAGCGGTTTCTCCTCTAATCCCCGCACCATTTCATGACGCATTCCTCAGGGCTCTGTCCTCGGTCCCCTCCTCTCCAAAATCTATATGCTCCCCCTCAGTGACATCATCCGCAGACATGGGGTCAACTTCCACATATATGCGGATAACACCCAAATGTATCTCTCTGCCTCCACTCTCAACCCAGGACCCACTGCTGTGCTGACAGAATGTCTGTCAGATATCAAGTCCTGGATGAGGGCAAACTTTCTACAGTTGAACGACAACAAGACCAAGACCCTCCTGATCGGCACTCGTCAGCGCCTCCTCAGGCACCGACAGCATCACCATCCATGGTTGCACATTCCATCTTGTTAAGCCAGTCTGGAACCTTAGCGTCTGTGACCCTCAACTATCCTTTCTACCCCACATCTGTGCAATGACCCGCTCTGCCTTCCACCACCTCCGAAACATCACCCGGCTCCGTCAGTATCTCACACTGCAGGCTGTTGAAACCCTCATACACACATTCACAATATCCAGGCTCGACTATGCAAACTCCAACTCCTCCCACCACAGGCTGCAGATCATCCAGAACTCTGCAGCCCGTGTCCTCTTCCACACGAAGCTCCATGACCCTATCACCCCCATCCACGCTCAACTCCACTGGTTCCCCATCACACAGAGGATAAAGTTCAAGATCTTGGTCCTCACCTTCAAAGCCCTCCATGGCCTCACTCCCCCCTACCTCTGCGACCTCCTAACCCCTACCACCCTGCCCGCTGCCTCCAGCCTGCTTCACGTCCCCCTACCTCACCATTGGCGGGTGGACATTCTGCCCCCAACCTCTGGAACTCCCATCCCGCAGGCTCACACCCTCCCTTGCCTTCTTCAAGACCCATCTCAAGACCCTCCTTTTCGACCGTGCCTTTGGTCACCCTCCTTCCTCCCCTGCTCTTCACCCTTACCGATCCCGACCCCCGGCTAGGGTCCAAAACACTGATTGTCCAGTGTCTTGGGACGTCCTCCCGACGTGAGAGGCTCTATACATATATAATTTTGTTGTTGCTGTTTTGAAGTTGGTGGTTGTAGAAGAGTTTAGTTTACAGCGTTTTGGCTGCATCCACAGATTACAACAAAAAATCATCAGTTTCACTGAGTTTTTTTTTTCCACATGTGAAAATAGGCCCACAGCCACAGAAAGGTGAATTTTTCAGGCTGCTTTGTGTTAACTATCATGATAATAATCCTTGCATTTGATATAGCACCTTATCATGTCGTGGAGACGACTCAAAGTGCTTCACAGAACCATACTGTCAAGATTATTATTATCATTATTACAGCAGAGATAGAGGGGAAAAAGTCTTTGCTCTTTGCAACACAACTCAAACTCTGTTCTCTCCTCACGATTCCTATGGCTGATTCGGAGAGCACGGGCCACTCAAAGCTATTAAAGCTTGACTAAACGTCATCATTTATTTGTGTGACTAAAAGGCTGTTTGGCCTCAGTTCGAATGCACCAATGTAATTACACGTCGGAGCACTGAACCTCGTTCAATCCACTCCCAACCTCTGTACAACCGAGGACACAGAGCACACAATTACTTGTGTTTCTGCTGCCATCTGATGGACAACCGTGTGCTTCTACATTCTCCACAAAGAACTTGATCAGTTGCTAATGATTGACTTTCCAGGGATAATAATTCCTTCAAAAAATAATAATAATTTGGTCACTCAACCCACAACTGTTTGTGGGGAGGGACACTGCTGTGCGCAATTGAATGCTGCGTTTGGCCCACAAAATATCCAGTCAATTCACTTTACAGTATATTCTGTGAAGCACTTTGAAGATATGATAAGGCGCTGTATCAAGTGCAAGGATTATTAATTATTATACACTGAATATATATACACACAGAGAGAACATACTGTAAAGTGAATTGACTGTGTATTTTGTGAGCGAAATGCTTTCAACCATTAAGGCGCGGAAGTCTGGAACACTCTTCCTCTGTCCCTCTGCCTTGTCTCCTCCTTCCCCATCTTCAGGTTGGGCCTGAAGATATTCCTTTTGATCGTGCCTACGGTCACCTCCCCCCCAGCTCGGTGTCATGCTCTGACACTGTCAAGTTGTTATCGAAAACCAGTTCTCCGTGATGGGAATTCGTACAGGTGACTTAGCGAAGATAAAATGACTCTTTTTTTCCCCTCCAAGTTTTGTGACGACGATAATAATATAATAATCCTCGCATTTGACCCAGCGCCTTATCATGTCTTCAAGATGTCTCAAAGCGCTTCACAGGTTACACTGTAAAGTAAGTTTGCTCTTTGAGTACTCTCACCTTTGGTGCCGGAGTCTCGTCTTCCTCTTCCTCCTCCTCTTCTTCCTCCTCCTCGGAGACGACGGAGTTGGTGAAGATGAGTGGGGTCCAGCGCAGGCTGTCGGGCTCCACCTCCGGGTGCCGTGGGTTTGCTCGCAGCTTGATCATGTGATCCTGGATCAGCTTTTCCCGACGAATAACCAGAAACCTGGTACGTAACAAAACAAAGTGTTAAAGAGGAAGTCATCCGTGAGATAAAAGGATCCTGTGAAACGGTTCGTGCTCCCACGGTTCCTGCTGAACCGGTGTTTGACAAAGCGCCTTAACACGTTGTCGAGTCCTCTCAAAGCACTTCACAGGATACACTGCAAAGTGTAGTGACTGGATATTTTGTGGGCCAAATATAGCAGTCAATGGCGTACAGCAGCATCCCCACAAACAGTCGTGGATTGAATTTGACCAAATTATTATAATTTTTTATTTATTTTAATTTGAAGGGATTATTAATCCCTAGAAAAGCGATCTGCCAATCGACTAACAACCGGGTTCCTATTGACTGCTGGTAAACATCGGTGTGTGTGTGTGTGTGTGTGGAGTAAGGAAATTTGCCCAAGGTTTCGCCCTGCCCAGGAATCGATCTCGATTCCTCTCGCTTGCGAGGCGAGAGCTCTAACCACTGAGCTACTGGACTCCACAAACTTTGGTGCTTATTAGCAGGTTAGAGGAGGGGCGGGGAGACATTATGAGGGCAGTGCTGCCGAGGTACGTACCGGTCAGTTCGGAACTGCAACATCTTCAGGTGGTGCAGGCTGGTGGTGATGTCCTGGGGGCAGATCCCTGACAGTTTGCTGAGTTTCTTGATGCTGAGCTGCTTGTCACGGCAGTGGTAAAGGCACTCCAAGATCACGCTCTTCCAGTACGCCATGTAGGAGAGGCGGCCTAGGTCTGACAGGGGCTTCTCCGGGGAACCGGCCTGCCCCTCCCGCTTTGACAGCAGATAACCTGAGAAAAGGAAAGGGTATTTTGTGCACGTTACCCTTCATAATAATAATAATCAATAATAATAATCCTCGCATTTGATTCAGCGCCTTATCATGTCGAGACATCTCAAAGCGCTTCACAGAATACACTGTAAAGTGAATTGACTGTATATTTTGTGTGCAAAACACGGCAGCCAATTGTGCACAGCAGCGTCCCACAAACAGCCGTGGATTGAGTGACCAAATTATTTTTAAAATTTATTTTAAAGGGATTATTACCCCCACCAATCGAGTAACAATCTAGTTCCTACTTTCTGCTAGGTAAACAGAGGCGTGTGTGTGTGGAGTAAGGAAACTTGCCTATGGTTTTGCCCTACCGGGGAATCAAACCCGGATCCTCTCATTTGGACTAAGCTACGGGATTGGTTTTAATAAAGAGCCGAGGCCAGTGACTTGCACTGCCTTAAGTGGCAATGACCTGATGGGAAAATATACTTTATTCAAAGAGGTTTGGGGATGAGGGAGTTCAATTATGTGCAGAGACTAGAGAGGCTGGAATTGTTCTCCTCAGAGCAGAGAAGGTTGAGGAAAGATTTAAAAGGTGTTCAAAATTATAAGGGGTTTTGATACAAATAGCTAGGGAGAAACTTTCCTCTGCCAGATGGGAGTGTCGGTAACCAAAGGACATAGATTTAAAATAATTGGCAAAAGAACTAGAGAGACGAGCAGAAATCTTTTTACCGAGAGAGTTGTAACGGTCTGGAATGCACTGCCTGAAAGGAAATAGATTCGATAGTAGCTTTCAAAAGGGAATTGGATAGGTACTTGAAAAGGAAAAATGTACAGAGCTGGATAATAATCCTTGTATTTGAGATAGCTCTTTTCACATCTTCGAGACATCTCAAAATGCTTCATCGGATACACTGTAAAGTGAACTGACTGTATATTTGTGGGTGAAACGCGGCAGCCAATTGCGCACAGCAGTCATAGATTGAGTGACCAAATTATTATAGTTTTTTTTCTTGAGGGATTATCAGGCGTGTGGAGTAAGGAAACTTGCCTAAGATTTCACCCTGCCCTGCTGGAAATCGAACCCAGGTCTCTCACTTGTAAGGCGAGAGCTACGGGGTAAGAGCACGTGAGTGGCGCTAGTTAGAAAGCTTTTTCAAAGTGGCACGATGGACTAAATAGGCTCCTTCTGTACGGTAAGATTCTATGATCCTATGATTGTTTCTGAAGTGCGGGCAAGAGCCACTCACTGAAGTCAATGAGAAACCGTCCATATCCCTTGCGCTGGTATTGTGGAAGAATCATGATGCAGGACACATTGTACTTCTGTTGGCAATGTTTCTCCTGAATATCGTGGGAGGGAAAAGGAACACAGTCAAATATCAACGCAAAACACCATCGCACAGAATATTAATAATCCTTGCATTTGATAAGGCGCCTTAACACGTCTGTGAGACATCTCAAAGCGCTTCACAGAATAAACTGTAAAGTGTATTCACTTTATATGTTGTGGGCAAAACACGGCAGCCAATTGCGCACCGCAGTGTCTCATAAACAGCTGCGGGTTGAGTGACCAATCATTATTATTATTTTTTGATTTTTTTTTGGAGGGATTATTACCTACAGAAAAACTTTCCCACCACCTCCGGTTCAGGGCAGAAAGTTCCCAGGCTTTACCATAATGTGTTTAGGCTTGCCAGGAAAATCTTGGCTCCTTATTTCCTGGACTCCTTATTTCAACTGTATATTCAGGTTGCTGCTTTTTATACAAAAGGGCAATTTATAATCTGGAATTGCTGGAAGTGTTCCAGCTGCTGTGGGGAGTTTTTCTTTTTTTATTGATTAACGTAATTTAAAGGAGTCACAAATATTTCCTGCCAGAAGTTTAATTTCCTGAGTGTTTCACTCCCCATAAAATCTGTGGATTATGGCTGGATCTATTCACATTTTCAAGACGGAGGTGGAGAGCTGTTTGTTAGGTCAGGGTTTTAAGGGATATGGGGCAAGGGCAGGTAACTGGACTTGAGGTACAGATCAGCCATGATCCAATAGAATGACACAATAGGCTCGAGGTGCTGAATAGCCTCCTCCTGTCTTTATGTTTCTTCACACGCTGTTTGCATTAACAGCTGACACCACAGAGCGGCGCTCCTCACAACTCTTGACGTCCACCTCACTACTAGATCAGCCTAGCCACCGGGCCAAAGGAGGTCATCTGAAGATCCTCACTCGTTTTCAAATCTCTTCAGGCCCTCGCCCCTCCCTACCTCTCCGATCTGCTTACCCCCCACTCAACCATCCGCTGCTCCCTCCCCCAAAAGGCGTTGGATTATGGCTGAATTCATTCAAATTTTCAAGACTGAGGTGGAGAGATGTCTGTGAGGTCAGGGTACCAAGGGATACGGGGCAAAGGCGGGAAATTGGAGTTGAGGAACAGATCAGCCATGATCTAACAGAATGGTGGAACAGGCTCGAGGGGCTGAATGGCCTCCTCCTGTTCCTATGTTTAGAATTCAACCTCAGCTTTTGATCATCAGTGAATGGCGCTGTCAATGCCACATGGCTCACAAATAACAGCAATAGCAACTTGCATTTACACAGCGCCTCACGCAGGGTAGCGTCCCAGAGCCCTTGACAGTGGCAGAGCACAATGCCAAGCCGGGGGGAAATGACCGTAGGCACGGGCGAAGAGGAAGGTCTTCGGGGGTGACATGAAGTTAGGGAAGGAGAGGGCAAGATGGAGGGATTGAGGGAGTGTTCCAGAGTTTTGGAGTGTAGTGGCTGAAGGGCCGGCTACCAACGGTGGAACGGAGGGCACAAGGGACAAGCAAGAGGCCGGAGCCAGTTGAGTGGAAGCAGCAGGTAGTGGGTTGGGGGGTGAGCAAGTCGGAGCGGTAGGGAGGTGCCAGGGCATGAAGGGATTTGAAAACAGGTGTGAGGATTTTCAAATCAACTGTTCGATGATAGAGAGCCAAAGGAGCCTGACGAGGACTGGGGTGATGGGAGTACGGAGTTTAGTGTGTGTAATGGAGAGTCAGTGGAGCCTGGCGAGAACTGGGGTGATAGCGTTAAAAACAGGCTCAGTCACCTTGGAGAAGTAGCCCACAAGGTGACAGCCCTTGGAGTCGTTCTGTGTGAGCACATAGAACAGGAAAGGCTCCACGTCATAGTACAAGGTCTTGTGGTCCAGGAAGAGTTTAGCCAGGAGGCACAGGTTCTGGCAGTATATGGTACTGATGTTTCCGTCCACCTGCACAGAAAGGAAGGCCAGCCATTAAACCCATGTGGGATCCAAGCACAGAAAGATGATCACAGTCCCCGAAATTCCACCTGACAATTGTACCCATAATCGAACACAACAAAATTAGATTTGTGTAGCGCCTTCACGTCGGGAGTACGTCCCAAGGCGCTGGACAACCATTGTTTCAGACCCGAGTTGGGGGTCAGGTCTAAAGGAACACAAGGAATTGTGGGAAATTCCTAAATTTCCTCTTAATTTAATTTTTTTGTTGGTCAGCAGGGGGTCTGATACATGCGGAAACCCATCATGCTTAACAGTCTCCAAACCAAGCTGATAATTCCAAACTTCCCACCTACACATGGAAATCCCAAAGATAGATGGTTGGAATGGAATGCGCTCTCTCTCTCTCCCTCCCCCTGGAGTATTTGCATCCTGTTTACCTAATTCTGGAAAGTATTAGGCGCAGGTTGGCGAGAGCCAAGGCTGGGGGGGGACCCCAGAGTGTGCGTTGCCGTAACTGCTGGAGTCTCACCTGATAAAACCTCAAAGCTTAATTTAGAAGCTGTTTATCTGCGTCACTTAAGACATACTCACCTCAAACACTGAGATCTTGTCTTTCCTATAAATCTCATTAGCTGGCGGGTGGAACCAGTTGCATTTCCTCATGTGCTGCTGCAGGATGCTTCTGCTCTTCACGTACTTGAGGCAAAATTCACACAAGTAGAGCTTGGGTAGCCTGCAACAGACAGGGGGATTTAAGAGGAATTTCAGCTCTGGTCACACATCTAATGATTCAAAATCACAACATCGGCGTCCTCGGGTTAATTCAACCCCAATTCCATCCACTTTGGAAGTCCATCCCACAGTCCCTTTGCCTCGCTCCATCCCTTGCCTCCTTCAAGACATGTCTCAAAACCCTCCTCTTCGACTGCGCCTTCGGTCACCCTCCTAATCCCAACCCCCAGCTCGTGTCCAAATTGCTGACTATTCAGCGCCTTCGGAGGTCTTCCCAATATGTGTTAATGTGATTTGCTGTTGTTTGGTTCATCCACCAGCAATTGACCCGAACGGCCACAATTCAAGTGTTTGCCTTGACAGTGAGCACTGGCAGGGGACTGAACAATGGGGGGTGGGGGGGGTCGCGTATGGTAAGAGAGATCACAGCTGAGATTGTGAGCCTGATTTTGCTTTCACCCGACATCCATACACTTAAAACATATTGTTTCAAAGCATTTTATTGCATTTCTGAAACATTTTGCCCACAAAATATGCAGTCAAATCACTTTACAGTGTATTCTGTGAAACGCTTTGAGACGTCTCGAAGACGTGATGAGGCGCTGTATCAAATGCAATGCTTAAATTTATTATTATTATTTCTCCTGCTCACTAGGTGGCAGGTTAATCCCTCTACAACTGAGAACCACCACTATGTACAGATGCTATAAACAGAAGTTTAACATCCAGCTACAAAGCATCTTCTTAATCCCAGCAAAGGCTGGAGCCAAAACCCCAGTTACACTCAGAATGTGATGTAAGATTGCCGTGTGCAATAAACACACCATTTTATGAGACATTTGACTCGTCTAAATGGCATCCTGATGGCAACCTTCGTAAGAAATGGGGGAAAAACCAATAAGAGGCAATATAAACCAGATCCTCTCAGGTTACGCACCGCTCATTAAAATGCCTCGTCTGCTCTTAGGACCACCAGTCAAAGGTCGGGGCAACTTGTAAGGTTAAATACACAGGAAAGTGTGTAGCCAATGTATTCTTGACCCTTCACCCATTTTATAACTTGTATACGTGAATTGGAACTGTGGGCCTCCAGACAGACCACTACCACTACTAACAGCCTTTCCAGCTTTGTCTCGTTCTGGGAAGTTCACAGAACTTTATACCATATCACGACTGCTGGGTCTCGCCCACAAAATATACAGTCAATTCACTTTACATTATATCCTGTGAAGCGCTTTGAGGCGTCTGAAGACGTGATAAGGTGCTGTATCACATACAAGGATTAATATTTTTATTATTATCATGAATACCTTCTCAGCACCTTGGGACATCTCCTACCTTGATAGGTGCTTTACAAATGTAATTTTGTATTGTATTGTATGAATGCAATTAACTGCTGCCCATGTACGGTACTATTTTAATCTTTAAGAAGGTATCAGGTAGGTTGATAACCTGAGGAGAGATGAGAAAACAAATTCTACCCAGAGAGTTATTACGGTCTAGTACGCACGGCCTGAAAGGGTGATGGAAGCAGATTCAATAATAGCTTTCAAAAGGGAATTGGATAGGTACTTGAAAAGGAAAAATGTACAGGGCTATGGGGAGAGCGCGGTGGGAGTGGGACTAGTTGGGATAAGAGCGGGGGACTTGGATGAGTTGGATAGCTCTTTCAAAAAGGCAGCACAGGCACGATGGGCCGAATGGCCTCCTTCTGTGCTGTAAGATTCCACAATTCTAAATTAATGGGGCAGCAAAGCAGTTTGGTCAGTCAGCATGGGAGCAGCGATTGGCTCCAATGGAAGATATCACTGCCTGAGGAGAGCTTGGCCAAAATCTGGGGATTAATAATGTTCTGGGAGGGGAACTTGCATTGGGCCGAATAACATAGGCACATCACAATGTGAAAGTAGAGAGCGTGAAATAACAATTTAAAACAAATGCAACATTTTGTTTACAATTTGTCTCTAACCATGTGAGCTGTCCCTGAGCTGAGTGGGCGCAGTAACAATATAGATGGAGTTGCGGTCAGGAAATGTGTATTTTTATAAGGCAGGCCAGATAAGAGCTGGGGGTAACTACGCAGAAGATTAGACTGACGTGAACCACACACAACTTAAATCAAGCCGTCTAATCGACAGGATGCTGCGTGTATCCGTCAGTAAACAAGTTTAACAGTTGCACAGTTAAACCACGATACCCAACACAAAGACTTCAGCACTGCAAGAACAGCTCTTGCTCTCAGCAAGTGGTGAGTTCCTAATACTGAGTTCCAATATCAACATATTTGCATATTGGTGGATCGCTTTTCCAACAACAACAAGATTCCATTTATAGAGCGCCTTTCACGTCGGGAGGACGTCCCAAGGCCTGGACAGTTGGGTTTGGACCCGAGCATTGGGGGGAAATGGTCAGGGTGAGGGAAGGGAGGGAGCGGGGAGGGGGAAAATGGTCAGGGTGAGGGGAGGGAAGGGAGGGGGCGAGGAGGGGGTAGAGTCGAGAGGGGAGCTGAAGGCTGAAGGTCAAAGAGAAAGGTCTTGAGACCGGGCTTGAAGGAGGAAAGGGAGGAGGCGGCGAAGGCACTGGGGATGGAGTTCCAAAGCCTCGGGGCTGAGAGGCTGAAGGCCACCGATGGTAGGGCGGTTGGGGCGGGGGATGTGGAGAAGACCGGAGCCAGAGGAACGGAGGATACGGGCAGGTAGGTAGGGGGATAGTAGGTCGGAGAGGTAGGAGGGAGCGAGGCCGTGAATGGCCTTGTAGGGAGGATAAGGAGTGATGTGGTCGCGAAGCCTGGTGCGGGACAGTACACGAGCTGCAGAGTTCTGAATAACCTGCAATAACAAAATTATGTTTGTAAAGCGTCTTTCATGTCGGGAGCATGTCCGAAGGCGCTGGACAGAGTTTCAGACCTGAGCTGGGGGTCAGGATCAGGAAGGATGGAGGGCAGGGAGATCGAAAGCACGGTCGAAGAGGAGGGTCTTGTGATGAGTCTTGAGGCAAGGGAGAAGGTGAGGCAGAGGGACTGCGGGATGGAGTTCCAGAGGGTGGGGCAGAGTGACAAAGGCCAATGTGCTTCACGTAGCAAGTTAGTTTGATGTGGGAGTGAATTCCATAGGCAAATACAACATGCAATCTATACCAGCAGCAATTCACAAAGAATAAGGAGATAAAAGGCCAATTAAGATGTGTTTGGTTGGGATCGTAGAAAGGGAGATTGACCAGAACACTGGGAAAACTCCCTTTTTTTCTTTCATACAGTGTAGGGTTGGAATCATTAATATCCAGCAGAACAGGCAGACAGGGTCTTGGTTAAATATCTTAATTGCGACTTTCCACACTTCCATGACTCCAGAAAAAATATTCCTGCTAGACACCAGTATCGGGCCTTCTGCCTCTCTGACTCACCCTTTGGAACTCCATCCCACAGTCCCTTCGCCTCGTTCCCTTCCTTGGCTCCTTCAAGGCCTGTCTCAAGACCCTCCTCTTTGATCGCGCCTTTGGTCACTCTCCCCTACCTCCCCGACCTCCACCCCTCCTGGTCCCAACCCCCAGCTTGGGTCCAAATCCCTGACTATCCAGAGCTTGAGACGTCCTCCTGACGTGAAAGGTGTTGTGTAAATGTCATTTGTTGTTGTTGTATCATTCAGTATATTCTGTGAAGCTCTTTGAGACGTCTAAAGCGCTATATCAAATGCAAGGATTATTATTATTATTTACACTCTACACTCTTGATCTGAGTAAAATAGCCACGTTACGGCCAATCTTCTTAAATCCCTGCACCACACTCCCCTCAACCATCTTCCATCAATAAGAAACCATGTTTGTCTATGAGTCTCTACTCATAATTTAAGTATTAAGGCCCCAAGATTCCTTGTTGCACTTCTCAACACCCTCTCCAATACTTTTGTGTGTTTTTGAGATGCTCAAAGCTGCACACAATATTCCAAATGTGGCTTCACCACTAATCTATAGATTTCTTTCTGACTTATAGTCAGATGCTCTGAAGCTTGCAACCCAAAATTGGAGTCACTTTATTCGATGAGTTTCAAATCGAATAGAAAACTTCCATGAAGTAATTTAACAAGTTTGTTTTAACAAGTTTTTTAATCCTTTATTTCACTGTGAAACACACTGGAGTGAGTGTTCATGGATAAACCGTCTCGTGCGGCGTTCCTCAGGGCTCTGTCCGTGGTCCCCTCTTCTTCAACATCTATGTGCTCCCCTTGGTGACATCATCCACAGACATAGGGTCAACTTCCTCATGTATGTGGATGACACCCAACTCTATCTCTCTGCCTCCGCCCTTGACTCCAGGACCCGCTGCTGTGCTGACAGAATACCTGTCAGACATCAAGTCCTGGATGAGAAATAACTTTCTTCAGTTGAATGTCAACAAGACCGAGGCTCTCCTGATTGGCCCCCGTCAGCCCCTCCACACCTCCAGCGTCACTATCCATGGTTATACACTCCACCTCGCTAAGTCAGTCCGGACCCTTGGGGTCTTGTTCGACCCTCAACTGTCCTTTCTACCCCAAATACGTGCCATCACACCGCAGGCCGCCAAAACCCTCATACACACCTTCATTACTTCGAGGCTCGACTAGCAAACTCCCTGCTTGTCGGCCTCCTCATTCCCCCTTCCACAGGAGATACAGTTCAAGACCCATCTTCTTCAAAGCCATCCATAGTCTTGCGCCCCCCCTACCTCTCCGACCTCTTAACCCCCTACCACCCCGTTCATGCTCTCCGCTCAGTGGGCTCTGGCCTGCTTCATGTCCCCCGCCTCGCTCACCCCACTATCAGCGGGCGGACCTTCTGCCACTCTGCACCCACCCTCTGAAACTCCACCCTGCAGTCCCTCCATCTTGCCCCCTCCCTCGCCATCTTCAAGACCCACCTCAAGACCTTCTTCTTCGTTCGTGCTTTTGATCTCTCTGCTTCCTCCCCCCCGCCCTCCCCGGCCCCCCACCCCGACCCTCAACTCGGGTCCGAAACAGTGTCTGT